AAATATACCTTCTATAATAAAGTTTAGGTGAGATATAATATGCATTGATAAAACTCAAACCCAACAAGCATTTCCTTTTTATCTACAAATTGATGATATTTGTCTTTTCTTTTCTTTCTTATTTATTTTCAGAAAACCTATTCCATCAACTGTGAAAGCTGGGGAGTTAGAAAAGATCATAAGTCGCTGTCGGGTGTGCATGAAGAAAAGACAATGAAGAAATCAATGAAAATAGAACTGTTATTTTTCATCTTCAATAATCAAGTAATGATGCATTTATTGGTTATTTAAGTATTTAAATGCATTTAAGTTTTTTTTCTCTCTAACCAAACAATATCGCTCTATGATGGCTTGGTACAAAGTTCCTATTTGTTTCTCCACACAACAAAGCACTTACTTTAAGTTAGCTCTGTGATCCTGGTCTCTACATCTGTGTTTCAAAGTTCCCTATGGTAAGGCAGCAGAGCTTTCACAAAATATCACTGAAATTGTATTCCATTTGTATCCAATGCACTATCTAAATGGTGACTGTATAAAGTTTGATGTGACAAGTGAAGAGCTATTTGGTCCAATAAATTCCCAAGATTTGCCCCCTTCTATTCCAGTCTTTGAGACTCAGGGAGGCTCTATCAGTTTTAGATTGCCCCACCTACTTCCTAAGACTTTTAGATGCTAAGTAGAGGAGATGGGGGTGAGTGGATTATGAGGCTTCACTGACAGAACTGGACTTTCAGATCTGTTAACCTCAGGCTTGAGGGAACCAGAATTAAACTGAGGTGCATAGATTTCGTAGGGCTCTTTCAAATATCCCCAACACTAAGGCCAAAAGGGGGGTTCCCTGAATGAAGTCGCAATAGCTGTGGAAACACTGTATGGTTTTGTTTTGTATTTTTAAAGTCTTTTTGTTTGTCCATTGAATTTTGTTTGTCCATTGTAGCAATATAGCCTGTTTGTGTTCCAAGTAGGTACAATTTTTAACTTTAGTGACTTAATTTTAATAGAATATTTTTTACACACATACTCTAAAATGTGTCTAAATTTTGACTTTTACCAGCACAACCACAAAATAACAAAACTACTTAGATTTGTACTTTATCCCCATTCCTATAAATGTTAGTGCATATAATTGAGTAGTTCAGTAATCCATGAAAAAACTTAAGGCATTAGTTGGATTATCAGGCTCAGAAGATTTTTCCTTTGCTCTAAATATGCCATTTAATTTGGATATTTTGAGATTCCTTTGTTACTTCTCTAATTCTTCTTTGGTAAAAACATGTTTTTTAATATTACATATTCTTTCAAACTATATTGAGAAAGTCCACTGTGTAAAAATATTAATGTACAAATTGTACAGCTTGGCAGCTGTGTCATAAAACTTGCTTTTCAGTGTGCTGATACATTCCCAGGGTTACTTAATTCAACCTAATAAGCATTTTATTCAGTGCCAAGCCATACTCAGGCACTGTGCTAAATTACAGAAACACTAATAGGGGAAAATTATATATATATTTGTTTTATTCCTAATATCCCAGAAAAGGTAATTTACTGTTTCTGTTAGGAATCCTACATATCTGAGTTGGTTTTTCTCCCTTTTCGTTCTTTACCTCTGTCCTAATATTTCATGATAATTCAGCAGACCTCAAAAAAGGTTCAAAAATAAGATCTATGCCCAAGGAGAACCCAGGGCTTCTGGCTTTTCTGAGGCATCACAGAAGCCAAGGTCTGGATAATATAAAGAAAACAAAGATCTGCAAGACATTAAAAACCATTATACTTGCCGAAACCGGTTTTGATGAGTCTCAGAAGTCAGGCAACCTAAGAAAAAGCTCTGAATATGTTTCTTGACCCACCTAGGTGGAGTTGGTGCTGATATTTAAATTCTGGTTTTGTTGCTTCAATCTCAGTTGCTTTGGAAGTGAAGATGTGGCCCCAGAGGACAGCACAGACTGTGACCACGGTCCGCATCCTCCACTGCTCAAATGACTCCTGTCAAGCCATTTTCACACTTAAATGAAGAAGCACTTTTTATACTCAGATTACTTATTTAGACTCACCTAATATTAAGACTTTTTGCTCTAAAAATATCTTACTGTCCAAATTGCACTATAGTGGCATGGAGGGCTAATGGATCTCCACAAACCCTCACAGACCAGGAGTTCTTGAAGTGTGGTCCCTGGACCAGCAGCATGTGGGAACTTGTCACAAATGCAAATTCTAGGGCCAACCCAGACCTACAGAATCAGAAACTCAGGGGTAAGTCCCAGAAATCTGTTTTAACAAATCCTCCCGGTGATTTCCAATGCACCCTAAAGATTGAAAAAAAAACTGTTCTGGGCAAACACCCCCAAAAAACAACAATTGTACCAGCAGTTACCAAGTAGAGCTGGCTACAATTGTTCTACCCGTCCCTCTCTTTCAAGTTCAAACTCACAAATGAACTTACGGTTACCTAATGTTACTAATAAGAAAAAGCCCTAGATTGGTGCTAATGCCAAATAACTGGCCTGCGCTTGTCCCCCAGCCTCCATCTTCTCTTGCCCTCTCATCAGTGTTTAACTTCTGAGGAAGACAAGTAATGCTAAATTCCAATGAAGCCATACTAAGCTGCTTAATCATACTTCTAAGACTGAGCATTGAAACACAGCTCATGTGCATTACTTTCTATAGTAGTAGCTATATAATCTGAGGAGTTTTTAAAGTTATGAAGACTTAAACTTTGCAGATAAAATGTAAAATAACTTGTTTCTTTTAAATTTGGGGCTTCACCTTTGGAATTTCACAGTTTGCTCAGAGGTCTCTCGTTTTGCAAGGTAAATGTTATTAAGTAACTTATTTATAAAAAGAATTACAATAATACTAAATTTGAGTTTATTGCTAATTTAACTTACAAAGATTTTTCTATGCATCAAATGTAACTTACTGCTTCAAAACTTAATTTAATATTCACTCTATAACCAAATGAAATATATTTAAAATATATTGAATATTTTATATCTTGACAATATTATAATATTGTAATGTACTAATATTTCTGTAATTATAGCAAAAATATAATTTTATTGTATTGTCTAATAATAAAATTTAAAATTATATCTGGTCTTATTTTTTCCAAGTGAAAATACATTTTTTTAAATTTTAAAAATATATGCTCACTGTCAAAACAATAGACAATACAGACGTTAACACACTGTAGACACATTTTCATATCTATAAACAAGAACTAATCATTATTTGCATGGATTTACTATGTAAGTCAATGAGTCCCCAATTGATGGACACTTCAATAAGTTTTATTATGGACATGTTGTACATATTTCATGTCACAATTTGTAAAACTCGGTTCTTTATGGATCCAATGTCTAGGACAAATTAGAGAAAAAAAAGATTGAAGAGGGGGAGTCCAGTTACAAGGGTAATGTATCAGTAGTCTAGCAATGGGAACAAAGTACACTTGGACAGTTGACATTGAGGTGAGAGACTTTAAAGACGGGGGACTTAGGAGACAGTGAAAGGTGACTTCGGAATTTTGAACCTTGGTGACTGAAATTAACTGAAAAAGGAAAATTCAGGAGAACGTTATCTGGATTGAGATGAGGAAGAAATTTGAGTTTGAAATCCTTTTGGGACCAAAGCTCCAAAGGGACACTTGGGCTAGAACTAGTGCAACCAGATGAGACTAAATAAATGTAACCTATTTAGATTTTTATGCCACCTTTTCCCACAAAAGATTTGAGGCAATGTGGTCGAAAGTCTACGATGAACTGAACTGTAAATAGGAATGGCCACATGAATGAAGTCCCTGAATGAAACTCTTGTCACAAAACACAAGGCAGCGGAGTTTCCAGGTAAGGGAGAGAAATGTGCCTTTTTTTGGGTGTTTTTTGTTTTTGAGATTCTACCAACAGTGTTAGATGCTTTCACATATCATACTCAGTCTCATTAACAGAATTAAACGATTCAGGAAGATTAAAGGTGATCAGGATTAAAGGAGAAGACTTTGGATTGGTAATTGAATTACATAAGGAATGTCCTGAGTTTATTTGAGCCAAACATATGTCGGAGAGCAAGATCTCAAATGCTCTGGAAAATAGCAGTTTGCAGCTTCTTTTATGCATTTGAAATGAAGGAGGGAACTAAGGAGAATGACATGGATGTGGGATTGGACTACAGGATAGTTAAAAAGATCCCCTGCTTTCTTGAAGGTGGTTTCCCTGATTTCAAAGGTGTGTTAACCTAGATGCACAGAAACAATGCACAGGGCTGGCTTAAGACGAGGACAAACCTCTTGCTGAAAGTTATGTGCCTGGGGCATCACTACTCACCATGACCTGCCCTGTTAGGAACGTATGATCAGACAATCCTGTGAGGTTACTTTCCATAGAATCCTTTTTTTTTTTCAACCACACAGTCTTCATTTAAAAGTTCATTTTCTTGGGGGGTAGGGGACAGGAGTAAAAAGCAAACTGCAATTAATTAAAAGGTGAAAGGGTAGTGGTGGAAGCAGCAGGGCCCTCCTTCCTAAAGGTTTTGGTCATAGATGGCTCATCCACCTTGGTCTCTTTCTGCCTCCAAAAAACGTTGGTTAAGTCCAATCAGTCCTAAAATAAATCTCTTAAAGAGAAATGCCTTGCCATTGCTATGAAGGGGCCCAAGAATGCCATTCTCAGAGGGCCTCCCACATTATTTTGAACAATGATAACATCTCTGGAATATCTTTAATTCTGGGGAAATACAGACTTGAGTAGGTCTTTGTTCAGCTCAAGTCCAGGCATACAAAGTATTCCACCATTTGGCATCAGTCCGTCCCAATGTTGGTGGACAAGGTACTGGTTTTTCCTGCAGAGGGAAAGATCGTTAGATCCAGAGAGAGGTCTCCGAAGCTTAACAAAGACTACTACAATGAAACCTAAGTCCTCCGGGATTCTCGTCTTGACAGATTAGGGGAGCCCGTCAAACCAGGGTCACTGTCAGGGAAGGCGTCTGAGAGTTCAGGAACCTAAACAGTCATCAACGTTAAAGTGTTTAAGAATCACTTGCAGAATGGTGATTAACAGGAGAAAGGGGGTGGAGGTAGGGAGGGTAAAGGGGGGTCAAACATATGGTGACGGAAGACTGGGCACAGGATGCAATATACAGACGATGGATTATAGAACTGAACACTTAAATCTATATAATGTTATTAACCAAGGTCACCCCAAATAAATTTAATTTTTAAAAAGTCACTTGCACCTCTTTCACTGCTGGTGGGAATGCAGACTGGTGCAGCCACTGTGGGAAACACTATGGCGTTTCCTCAAAAAGTTAAAAATGGAACTTCCATTTGACCCAGTGATCCCACTGCTAGGAATATATCCCAAGAAACCAGAAACACCAATCAGAAAGGATATATGCACCCATATGTTCATAGCAACACAATTTACCATAGCTAAGATCTGGAAACAGCCTAAATGCCCATCAGCAGATGAGTGGATTAGAAAACTGTGGTACATCTACACGATGGAATACTACGCTGCGGTAAAAAAGGAGTTCTTACCATTTGCAGCAGCATGGATGGAAACGGAGAGCATTATGCTAAGCGAAATAAGCCAGTCGGAGAAAGATAACTATCACATGATTGATTTCACTCATTTATGGATAATAAAGAACATTATAACCTGATGAACAAAAAGATAGATACAGAGGCAGAGAAGCATTGAACAGACTGTCAAATTACAGTGGGAAGGCCGGGGAAGTGTTGGGGGGGAGGGGGGGAAAGGGAGGTAAGAGATCAACTGAAGGACTTGTATGCATGTATATAAGCACACAGCAGGTAGCATAAATTACAACCGATCTTCCCCCCTTGTCTCTTTGATTGTTCTTTGTGCACTCCATGTAGGAAGTTGCCTCGTATAAAACATAGAGGGGGGATGTCATAGGTACTACTATCTGTAATACTTTAAACAATAAAATAAAAAAAATTTTTAAAAGTCACTTGCAGAGCTAGCGACATCGGCAGATTCCCAGGAGAAGTAGTTGTTTAACTGGCTGCGCAAGGTTTCCTTGTGGATATGCGGCTCTCAGGGATCGCGAACTCTATGTAACCGAGAACGAAACACCTACCGTGAGAAGTCGTTCCCTGCGGTTGGTGCGCGGCCCGAGCCAGAAACGCGCCCCGGGACGGGATCCCGGAGTCACGGCCCCGCCCACGGACGCCGGCGCGTCACGTGACCGCGGCGCCGCCTGCGCTACGGGTCCCGGGAGGGGCCAGCCCCGGCCGTTCTCGCGTCTCTGCCGGCCCGCTGCGGGCCGCTCCGGCCGGTGTTTTGCCCGGGCGCCTCCGTGCGCTCGGCCAACGGCCTCCGAGAGCGCCCACCTGAGCCCCCGGGAGCCGGCGGGCGGCGGCCCTCGCCGGGGACCCTCCAGCCGGCCCAGGGGTGAGTACTGACGTCTTCCGGACCCGGGACCTGCAGCCCGGCGCCGAGGCCGGGGTTCTCCGGCTGCCGGGGGGACCCGCGTCGCCCCGGTGCGCCCCTGGTGCCTACCCGGCCCGAGTCCCGGCCCCCGACCCCCGGGCTTCTCGCCTTCAACCCCGACCTTTCCGCCTTCTCAGGCCTGGCCTCCCCATCTGGCCCTGCGGGGAAACTGCCCTGCACACGTTTGGGGCAACCTCTTCACCCTTTCTAGGTCGCCGTCTCATTGTTGAAACATTTGGACTTTTTTTCCCGTCTAGAAAATAGTTTGGGGGTGTCGGGGGGCGGGGAGAGGAGGGGAGACACTAGGGATGTCCTGAGCTTGATCACGGCGCTTTGCTGGGCGTCTTCCCTCTCTCCGGGTCCGGGCCTTGGCATCTCTAAGTATGTGACCTTGAACCGGACACCTGCCGTCTTGAAAACTAGTTTTTGTTGTTTTTCTTTTGACTTGGTGGGAAGTGCGTGTTGGAAAAGAAAGGCCTTGTTGAAAGCCGGGTCCGGCGCGAGCGGCCCAGCGGGCCCAGCCTGTGAGCATCCTTGTTCGCAGGTGCACCTGCTGCCTGAGCTGCTCC